ATTCGAGGGTCATCATGTTGATTGTGATGACTGTAACATAATAAAATTATGAATGTTTTGAAACAGCCCTGGATTGTTGTCGTGTACGAAATTCTCAAACTGAGATTATAGTCGTTAAAACATCCAGGATAAATAAATCATTCGAGGCTCGTTCCGATTAATTCAGGGCTTCAGGCTCATGAAATGTCTGAGTAGCGCTGAAGCTCAAAAAAGCATTATATACTAAAAAAGCCGCACAGCTAGCCAACACATCTCATGTGATAAGAAATAAATATTCACATCACAATTCCTATGTTCAAAACGCCCAACAACAAAGCGCTATCAGAGTACTCAGTACTCAGTAATACACATGGGGTAAATAAATATAAATAGTTTATACATGTGAGTAAGAATCCGAAATGAATATGAGTAAGAATCCGAAATGAATATGAGTAATGAATCCGAAATGAATGAATATTGTAGAATGGGGCATTCTAGGACTAACAACTGTTCGAAAGTCACATGATTTGGTGAAAGAAACCATTTGGCTAGCTTTCCGAACCAACGACACACTGAGAAGCACACACAACGGAAATGATCCAAAATACGAAGACCTCACTTTTTAGTAAAAATAAACACATGGATTAGGGCAGAGAAGAAGCACTTGTCACAGTCGTAACAAATGCATTTCGTTTCGTTTTTGGTGTCATTTCCACTTTCGTTCTCACCAGTTTGAGTGCTGTCTTCAGCAGGAAAGATAACTGAATATTATCAGCTTGAAAGCCTCGACAGTCCACAGAAGTGATGTCCCCTGGTTTTGGTTCTAATGGCTAGTAGATGGGCACTTTTCCTGATTTTCTATCCTTGTCTCCAGCACTCACTGGCTTTAATGATAAGGGGAACTCTTCAGACTTAACGGATATCGCAGATCTCATTCTGTTGATACGGTGAACACCTTATTATTGTCTATTGTGGCTCGCTTTGTAAGAGGGATGGTCGCAGAAGCAGCAATCAGCCCAATGTGAAATGCATGCAGTTGGGAAGCTGCAGATGAACTGTTCTCCTTCTAGGGGGCAACAGTAGGGGGCTTGGTTGGGGGTGGACTGTGGCTGGGGAACGTGAAAGGCAGGGGTCATGTCTTAGAGAAAAGTAGTAATCAAGGGATGATTGTGGCGGCTGAAAACGTACATTTAAGCATCACGGATTTTGCTGACGAAATTGATCAGAGGGTCAACATGTATGTATTTTATCCCCATTATCCTCAAAATGGCCAGCCCTTGCAGCACTAAAAGAACAGCCCAGATATACCTAGACCGCATTAATGAAAGCCATGCTTTTAAAGGTCAAGTAAGAACTGGAATACGTGAGAAACTTATCCTAAAATCCGAGGCCTGGGTCTTATCATTCCCATCAATATACGGTGACGTCTTTGTCAGATGGGCAGCTAAAGGTGGATTGGGAGAGGGGGGGACAGCACTGTCCCCCAGGCCTGTTGCGTCACTCGATGACGTTTGGATCAGAAGAGGTGTGTGATACTTTCTCCCCCCACCCCCCACCACTGAGCTGGCAGCAGCACTATGCATCGTGCCAACCTATGAGAAACTGAATTATTCACTATTTCTGAATGAGAGAACATTGTGAATATTTTGAATGAGAATTAATTCCCACATGTCTAGCGATCTCTCAAGATAACTGTTTAATGCACTGAAATATACACAAATGGCACCGAATCATGCATAACATACATTAATCCAGAGATTCCTTGGAGTGTTCAGGGCGGCAGACCCTAAATGTTTTATAAAGACGGCATTGAAAAATGTTCCTGGTGTATTAAACATACAATTATTTCTTTAGCCACAAAAGTTACTGAGCAGAACTGATTTGCTGCTTCAGCGCTCATCTACCTACCCAACCTGTACCCAGGTTGTCAAAGACCTCCAGCTGTACATAAATCAATAGAATGGAATGCAGATTGCAGCAGACGGTTTTTGGGATTCTTCGAGCCGTAGACAATGATTACAGCTAATCCAGGAGAAGCACACGACAGTCCCTCCTGCAAAGCGAGATCTGGGGTCTTGGGATTGACTCTGTTTATTGTTAAGAGAGGAATCAGTTGGTTTGGGAGAGCCTTCAGTGTCCTCTCCATCGAGACAAAAAATGATTAAGTCTTCTTGCAAATAATGGATGTGACATGAGACATTGGGGACAGTCAAATGTCACAATGCCTTAATCCTGAAGATCAGTATGGCCTTAATATTTAGCCTATGTATCTTAGTATGGTGAACTAAAGAAATTACATGGCAGGGCACCTTTTCAGTCACAAAAGGCCATCAAAATCTGCATATAACCTGTACCTCTGTATGCAAACAACCTCTCAGTTTTACCCTGTATTTCAATAAACCCTAGATCCTAAGTGATTATCTGAATCCCATTTTGAAAAATCTTATTATCACAGAGTATTGAATCTAGCGCGATAAGTGTCACATGAATTACACACTTCATCTTTCATCACAACATGAATAAATCGCTGCTATAATCTTTATTTTCACTTGTTCCTTATGTTTCGCCCTAAGGACATATAGAGAACGTGCGCATCGTGAACCGAATCAATGCATTTCCGATACTCAGTTGCAATTATTTAACGTTATTAACGCAGTTCACGTACAGGATTTTGTCTTTGTTCTTATTTACTGGTCATTTCAAGCAAACACACTATAGTTTTTAATATTAAAAACTATAATGAAATCACTAAGCTGATGAGGAATTGTTTGATAATTTAGTTGTTTTGTCAGTTTACAAACTTGAGGATCCGAAGACATAGAAAGCGTACATTTCTTCATACTTTTCAAATAGGCTACTATATTTTCAAGTATATAAAAACACTTTGGCATCAGATGGATGCTGACAAAATGACTGCACGTACCATCCTAAATGTAAGCCCTTTCAAAACCCATAAACACTTTCCTTGAAACATATATTTATTTGTCAAGATTTAAAGAAGTCTATAACAAAAACATTTTACATTTTGACAAAAAAAAAAAAACCCATGTATGCATTACGAAATCATAAAGTTGAAAGACATAATCTACCTTAACGATATCGGCGGCTGACTTCAAGCGCTCAAAATCTGACTTCGAAAAGCATCATTTTGGGAAAAACGGGAAATGTGGATCTATGAAAAGAAATCGCCCTTAAAGTTCTTGCATTCTGGATAAATCCCGAAGTCCATTCATGTACTGAGCTGTGAAATCAAGCGTCCAGCAAGTAAATACCTTCGCGTAAAATCATGGAAAAGGAGCAATCAATTCGCCTTGAGCTCTTGCAGGGAGAAATTGACCTGCATCGATGCCCCGTTCCGGAGGAGCCGTCTTCTGGACTCCTGGATCTGATCGGAGTTGGAATTGAAGAAAAAAAAATCAAACCCTTCTCATATCAACAGGCTGGATAAATGGGTCCATTACAGCGGATGTCTTTTAAAAGGACTCAAAACAGATAAAGACGTTTTGTTTTCACCAAGGCTTGTAACCATATTATTTAGTGGGACATTGAGAAAAAATAACCAAAACCGACTAGAGCCTTTTGGTGTTAAAAGGGAGGAGGAAGTGTGAGAGGCTTGGAGGCACTGGAAGTGCTATAAGGCTTCTCGTTTTGCCTCTGAATTGAAGTTTACCTGGCAGCAAACTGAAAACTGCCGTTATCATATTGAAAATCACGTTTCACTTGGTCAGGCTAATGAATGATCAATTAATATAATACTTTATACTTTTTAATTAAATCCATTTTATGTATAAATTCAAGTTATAATTACGGATTGCTGAATTTTTATACTGTATATAATCATACACTCAAACAGGTATACATGCCGGGTCATTGCGCGGTAAGGGAACGTGACTAAACTCCAGACAGGCGAAAACATCAATGCATGCTTCGAGGAAAAAGCGTCTGACAAAACGCAATATTAATCTATTAACTACAAATAAATCAATGAATTCAAAAATCTTATTTCAGATATCTCGAAGATTATCGTGTGTGACCAAACCAGCAACTGCTTTCCTTGCTGATCTAGGCAGTTAGCGGCTTATTTTTTAAAAATTATTTTAATAAACGCGTACATTAAAATATTACTTGGTTAATTTAACTGTAACGTATAAACAGCAACGACATATTCTTCTTCCACATGTATATTCGTTTTCTTTTTATTATTTCCTATATGAATAATTAGACTACCTTACAAGTGTTACCATGAGGAGTTTATTTCTGTGGCATGTCTAGCAAATTCAGTAAGGGATCTCTATTATGTGACCAAAGCTTGCACTCCTTTAACAATAATTGCGCACGTCAATTATTTACCGTTATTGATTACCAGAACACCGGTCCTAGCCCATGTTGCGCCCTAGGCGAGCATTACCACTGCTGCCCCCGACCGAGTCAAAGAGAAACTGGCTGGCAAGTCGGCTCCCCCTCATAAGGTGGCGCCCTATGCGGTCGCCTGTGTCGCCAGCCCGGTTGATTACATACTCATCCATCCTGCCATTGAGTCCCCAAGAATAAACATATATGTGACATAGGTTTAAAATCACTGTTTATGTCTTGGGGCAAAGACAAAACGTAACTAGTTAAATTTAATGCTGCTTATCTTGAACAGGGTCGCAGGGCATGGGAACCCACTGGATGAGTCTATGACAAAGTACGCACACACTATGTGTAATTTCGGGATGGTGTTTAACGCAATTGCACGCATTTGGGGTGAAGGGAAACCGCAGCACCCAGAGAAATCACACACAACACGGGGAAACGGGGAAACTTTGCACACAGAGCAGAAATGGGATTTGAAACGCCAAACCCGACTAATCTGACACCATTACCGGCAAAGCATCTCCTAACTATTTATCCGATACAGAACTGTGCCAAGAAGCTTATATGAGGAAGCACAGGGCACAAAGCACCGCAATACGGCGAATATAATGCCAGTCCATTACATGCAGGACGCACACACGAACAAATGAGTAATTTAGACAGTCCACTTATCTATGTGTCTTTATTCTGGTATTATCATGAGTAGAACTTTATAAATAGAATACACCAGTAAATGAATAACAGTAAAACTCCTAGCCAAAAATCTATAATCCATTGAATTACTTAAGGATTTTACAGTGCGGAGTCAAATCAATTTAGGTGATAATTGTAGTGCCATCTGGTGGTATTTCATCCTAATAGCAGTTGCTGAAAAAAAATGCATTCAGTGTTTTAGAGATAAACAACCAGCTTTTAACAGAGAACAGACAAAATATGTGACCAAGAAGCTAGCTAGATTTCATATGTATGAGGGCTAGACAAGATTCAATTTGAAATTAAAAATGGTTATTGAAGCTTGTATAACTATTAAAAATAGACATGCTTTTTAAAAAAAAGGTTGAAATTAGTTTTGACATGTTTAAGGAAAATTAGTCCATATATGTCAGACATTTATAAACAGAATCACACCCCCTTGGTCATATCTGATACAAAAATAGTGTATAATAAGATACAGTGGAAATATAACAAGCCAAAATGTCTTTATATCTTTTCAAAACTTAACATCAACTCAACGCAACCCTCACGGCTGTATTTACAGTGTTACTTTAAAACAGCTGTGTCATAATCCATATATCTCTCTTCCAATTCTTATCTTGGACAGTCACAGGAGAGCCTGCGGGCCCATCTCAGGCAGCACAGGGGAGGGGTACACCCCAGACGGGATGCCCGCCCACTACAACGCAGATACACTTACACACCACAGGGGACGCTATGTTACCAATTAGCCTAAATGCATGTGTGTGGACTGAGCGAATAACCAGAGTACTCAGAGCATCCACTCACATGGCACAGGCGGGATTCAAACCCCCAACCCTGAAGGTGCGAGACAACAGTGACATTCAGAGCCACTGTGGCACCTGATACCATAACGTATGCATAACAATGGAATGGAGTTTATTGAAAACAAAATCTAAAGCTCATTCAATACTATTACTGGCAAAGCATTCTTCTAACTGGTTATCTAATACAGGGTTGCAGCTGGGACAGCACAGAGGCTTGAATGGCATGCCAGTCGATCACGGGATATACACACAGACAATGAGCAATTCAGACATTTCATCTACCCACTTCGTTTTGGACCACAGAGGAAAAAACGGAATACCCTGAGGAAATCCACACGACTCAGAGACGATGTAAGCTCCAGACACAGAACGGGGCGGAACGCAAGCCCCCGCCCACAGGTAAACGAGGCAATAATGCTACTCACTCGACCACCATGTCTCTCAGAACGATGAGTTTAAACCAGTGTTTCTTATCCCAGTTCTTGGCGACCCCCAGAATGCCCACCATTTTTACTGCCTCCCAGCTCCCTGCCAGTCAGTCCACATCTTTGAGCTGGTAGGGAGCAAAAACATGGACTTTCTCAGGGTCCCGAGGACTGGGTTGATAAACACGCATTTAAACAAAATCTAGGAAGAAACCACAGTGTTACCCAAATTTTCTCAAGTGGGATTTTCTTACATGTATGACATTCCACGCTGAATTAGCATGGAACTCATTCCACTTCATAATTATAAATAGCACTGTCTTCAAGTACAAATACTGTCGAAAATCATTTTATTGCTATAAATGAATCGATTTTGCTTGTTTTATAGACTGTCCATCACTCACACCAGATCTGATCGGTTAGAAACTGAAAAACAAGACCACAGTTGTAAAGCTGGGATTTCCCCCAGTATTTTTAGTAGGTCACTTGCTACCCCTACATTGTAACTAAAGATATAGTAAATTAAGCTCAATAGGCGTAACATCCAATCAGAGTTACAGGAAAGTGTTGCCATGGCTACAAGATTTCTGAAAGAACACCTTGAAACAAAGTCCTTTAGCTAAATTTGTATTGTGTTGTTGGGGTTAGGTTACATTAAAGCGGCTTGGATATATGGAGATTATCAGTCCTCTAACTGATATATTCGATTTATAGCAACTAGAAAATGAATGTACAAAATGTTAAACTGTAACTTTCATGACCTGCAAAACCAAACAGAAAGCTCCCGAAGAGGGCTGTGACATCACTGGGAGCTCTGCTAAGCTGATGCTTTTTGGTGGTCGTATGTTGGGTCCATAAGCTCTATTTCTCTGGTGTCTGACTCTCCTCCTCCCCGTCCTGTGCTGCAGGGTCCGCACCGGGCTGCGACCCCTCTGACATCGTCTGCTGCCCCCTCTTGGGCACAAGGAGGTACTCCAGCTCCTCGGCGCTGACAGCCACCTTCTCCGGCTGCAGCCAGCGCTTAAGGTGTTCCAGAGCACTGGGGGGGGGGGGGGCAGAGGACAATGAGGGGCACTGCACCCATGCCACGTTAACCTCCTCTCACTCCTGATACAGCCCCAAACAAATGTGCACCCCCAGCTCTTTGTTAGGCCAATACCTACCTCTAACCTATATGCATTAAGACAAATATTCCTGATATGCAACAGATACTGTAACAATGCAAATTACTGCTGTACTCAGTGTTTAGTGACTTTAGTTTTTCAATACAATCGTGAAATGTATTATATTGTACTAATTCTATGTGAATCTTTTTTTGTATTAAAAATCTTGATCCAATTCTTTGATATTTAAATCTTGAGATCCTGAACAACCAGAGTAAAAATTTATTACAAACTATTTATTTTAATTCAAAGTATAGTGAACTGCAACATTTCTGAAAAGTAATGTAATTAATGCATAGTTACCCGTACTGGTCAGTAGCTCAGGAGAATATACAAGCCCTCAAAGTCACAGCTGAACATCATAATTATAGGACAAGTAATACCGTAAACAGGTTTTAACCACTAGACACCATTGGTACTATGAGAAACTATATCCCCTCTGTAAAAATATATGGCATGACACTGTGTGACTTTACCTCTGATCAAAATCACTCCCATCCTGAAAGGGATCAGATGCTGGTGAATCATGAAGAAATCTATCCCAGCATTCCTTTTTCGCCTGTGATAGGGTGCGAAGCATCTCCCGTGATGTCACTTCCTGAGACTGGCCCTTGATTCTCCTTAACCGGTTTTCTGGGAGGGAGAAAAGGAACTTGGGAATGGATATATAAATCTGACGTCTGAGGTGACATGTCAAAAGTAAAGCAGAGTGTGAAGCATCCAGACTGAATGGTACCTAAACTGGCAATGTACACGTCTGAGTCGGCCATCGGCGCCCAGGGGTTGAGGGGGGGATTTAGAGGGACATTGTACTGCCCACTTCCCAGCCCTGTGTCTTCTAATGGTGGCTGAAAGGAATCCGTGAATTCTTCAGCCTCTTGCCCTTGGGGCTGCTGGCTGGCCAGCCCTGGGCAGATTTCTGACCATAGCTCATTGCTAGAACGAGCTTCACGGCTCTCCAAATCATCGACCATACCTTCAGGACAGTCAGAAGGAGAAGAGGGATAATATTAGAAATTTGGAATCCATGAAACTACAGGGGTATTATTATTTAATATACATTTTATATGATAGAAAACTTACATCTGGAATTCACGTGACTTTCACTGCAAACATGGCAATGTGAAAAAATTACTTAAAATACTTGGCTTACCTGAACCACTACACAAGCATTAATACACATCCTGTTATTTTTATTATAACGGCTTAAGTAAAGGGGTTTACAGTGCTTTAGCATACAGAGTTAGATTTGTCTTGCCTAAATCAGGTCTATTGTCTAAATTACTTAACTGGAGGACGTAGCCGACGTAATAGCAAGTCATTTTTCATAAGGCGAACTAGTATGTGATGTTCTACTACAAAGCAAATGGGTTAGTGTCGCATGTTAGAGGAAACCGTACGGAGACCAGTATCTTAAGTTTGTAATATAAGTTGTAGTAATCTTTTAGCAACATCTTAATACATATCCTGGTTTGAAAATGTATGGAGCGACTCCAATCATCGTTACCTCGCAATGGCAATACAGACCTGAACACTATTTCTAGGTAAAGAGATATACTTAAAGGCACAATATATTGCATATTGAGAAATATCTGAACTTGTCTTACCTTACGCTAAACCGGGCCCCAAAAATTCTATGTACTTTGATAAAACAATATGTGACACACGATTTAACTGTTATTTTTCGTTTATTTACACTGAAGCTGGACGAAGAGGATGACAGATAATTTCTCGAACCTATAGGTAAGCGCTGGCATATCCTGGCAAAACGTGATTCGATGACCAAATTGTCATTCAAAGATACTCGCGATCCTATTGGAGTAAATGCCAACTCGTTCGAAATGTTATTGGACAATAATCTGTCTTTAGTTCAACGCGTGTCACGTGAGTGCACTGCCGTAAAGCGAGGTTAAATATTGTAAATTGCGTGTGACGAAGATTACCTGTAGGTAAGTTGTGGTGACTGCAGTTAATGTGGCGCTTGCACTGTAAACATTTAAGTTGTCATTTTTTTTTATCTCTTACGAGTACTCACGATCATTTAAACTATTGTTTGAAGCAAAAATTGCAGTTCTTAATCATAGTGTTTCAGTGAATATTGCGTTATCTTTTATTTCTGTGCTTAATCTTAAAATATTCCCTCCTACTCTTGCTTTTTCTTCTACGTAGGAATGGCATTTTTATTTTAAACTGCTGATAGCATTCTCGGCGCATGACATGGAGGTCTGCATAACAATATAAAGGATATAATGCAAACATGTTAATGCTTCGACATCTAGTGCGTCATGATAACCCAGCATAATAACCCAAATATGTACGATTGATGTGTCGAATATCACATCGTCAGCATTTCTCTGACATTGCATTGTCCTTTTCGTTCTTATTAATCCGATTACACACTTGAACTGTGTTATAAATAAAGGGGCTTCCTCTTGCAACTCAAAACGGTCTTTGAAATTGGTTAATGTTAAAATGACTGCACTTTGTTGACAGGGTATCTAGGGTTCAGGAGATGAGATGAGAGCTCTGTCCGGATTGGCTGCGGTGGCGTTCCCCATGGGTGTGCTGCTATCGAGGACCATGGCGTGGATGTCCAGTGGAAGAACACATCCAGAACTGGTCAGCCGCCTGAGAGGTCAGTCATAAACCTGATGTGCTTTAAAATGATCTATCTATCTATCTATCTATCTATCTATCTATCTATCTATCTATCTATCTATCTTCATTTTCTGTAACAGCATGTGCTATTCATGGTTGTGTGTGGTCCTATCCCAGAGGGTATGGGAGCAAGGCAGAAAACAACCCAGGATGGGGTGCCAACCCGTCACAGGGCACACTCACACATGCACACCTACAGGCAGTTTGGTAACTCCAGTTAACCTCAGCATTGTTTTGGACTTATGGGGAGAAACCGGAGTTCCCAGAGGAAACCCCATGACGGCACGGGGAGAACATGCAAACTGCACACACACGGAGCCATGGTAGGGACTCCAACACTGGTCACAGGGGTGTGAGGCATCAGTGCTAATCACTGTGCCACCTGTCTATCTTAACCTATCTAATTATACACAAATTAATTCTGTTAAATAATGAGTTTGAGGTTCATTACTGTCAAAAGGCCAATAAAAATAACGAAGTTTTTCCATCTTTTTCCCAGTGACATGTCTAGTTAACATTTTCAAATGTTGTTTATTTAAAGATAACGGGGTTATCAAATCAGACCGAGTTTTTGAGGCCATGTTGGCCACTGACCGAGGGTTCTACACCAAAGAGCACTCCTACGAGGATTCCCCACAGTCCATAGGTAAATCCCCCCATGACCTGCTTTTCGATTTTAAGGTAGACACATAGCCCAGTGATACCCTGCTTAGGTTTTTATTAGTAATGCAGGTTTATTATTTGTTTATTGCAGGCTACCAGGCTACTATCAGTGCCCCTCATATGGTGAGACTGATACAAAGTTTGATTTAATAAAATTTGCTTAAAAATAAACTAATATATACAATATTTTTTACTGGATTAGGTTAGGGAGCTGTGCACCGTGTCCATATCTATACTGGAAACTTTAAAAATGTATACTGTAGATATTCACACGCAGTTTTGCAGATGTATTGATAGGGAATGTTTCCTAGGGTTTTGCAGGCAGCTCAGTTCTGAAGTCTGGCTGTTCTCATAAATGCTTAGCTTAGCTTAGCTTAGCGTATCATTATTACTATAAATACAGCTAAGTGACTTTGTCTTTATGATTGGGTTTCATGGCCAGAGCTTTTTAGTTCTGGTAACACAGGCAGAGAACAGTATGGCCGTTAAGGTAGCCAGATGATCAGTCCTATCCTCCTGAGACCCAGGGAAAAAAGTGTCCTTCAATTGTAGGTTATTTGTCTTTGGAGGAAATAAGACATCTTACAATTTAGATTTTTTCTAATTTATTCTTATTTTAATTTCTTTAGTGCACAACAAGAATAAATACGTTTCCCAACATCAGTGAAAAAATAAATGCAAAAATACAACGTCCTCTACAATGGACATAAATGAATAGGTCGGGTCTCAGGAGGATATACCTGCTAATAAACTTACATTGGAATTAATATGCCTGCTAAATTGCCATTGGTTCTAAAAGACTGGGTAGATGTCAAAGGTTTGCCTGCCTGTTTGTGTTTAGCATGCCCACGCCATGGAAGTACTGAGTGACAAGCTAACTGAGGGGTCCTCGGCCTTGGATGTGGGATCAGGGAGCGGCTATCTCACTGCCTGCTTTGCCAGGATGGTAGGTCGGTTAAAATGTTCACAGACCCTATATCAGTGTTTCCCAGTCCGGATCTTGCGGACCCACAGACAGTCTACGTTTTTTGCTCCTCTGGGAGGGAGCAAAAATGTGGACTGTTGCAGGAAGCTTGGAGAGAACAAAAACCTGGACAAACTGGCTCCCCGAAGACCGGACTGGGAAACACTGCTGTATGTAATAGGATGAGTGAGTACTTGAATAACTTTTACTACAGCTACATCAAACTTATGTTAAATATAAAATAAAAACATAATTTATGCTGTATAAAGAAAATGGAGCACATTCAGAATTGCATTTGGATAATACAAAGTGCTTTTGCTTTAATTGTCACCTTTGACTCCTTCCTGAACCCTTACCTACGCTCGCAGGTCGGACCCACGGGAAAGGTGGTGGGTATTGACCACATACCGGAACTGGTGCAGGCTTCTCTGCAGAACCTCCGTGCCGATGACCCTGAGCTGCTCGATTCAGGACGTGTCAAACTGATCAGTGAGTCACTTAGCCGAGGCATCTAGCTGATGTGCCAGATTTTTGTTTTTCTGTCGTTTCTCGGTCAGTGAACACTCTCACACCTCAATTTGGATTTTTTCTTTCCAGCATTTTTTGTGTTCGCTCTTCATAAGAAATGCATTTCCCCCACATTTCTACCAATTTGAGATTTCCAGTTAATCCCTTCCTGAATCTCCTTCACACACACACACACACACACACACGTCAGCTCTGGAAGGGTAAAAACTAGTACAGACCAACTCTTCCTGTATATGTACTGTCAGCCACCCAATTCTTTTTGCTGTATGGGCCACGGGCCTCACTGTGTGGCATAATAGACTCTGCAGAGGGCAGCATTCACTCAGTTCCACCCACAGCCCTGCTGGCAACAAACGTCTCCGCAGAGGGAGGGGAGGGAAAGGACACCAGCGGGCAGCAACGCCCTGCTTGATCGGCACGCTGTTGGGGTTTCCAAATTTTTTTGAATATTATTTCTATTGTATTGCTGTTTTTCTTGGTCTGGATTTGTACTTTCTGGACCTGACCTTTCCACCTCTACTCGTACCCCATAATTTCCAGGGAGTGGCTGCAGGTTCACCGTCACTCTGTGCTTGATAAGCATTATGGGGAACATTGCATTTACGCAAGTTTGTTTCCACAGCAGTTCAGGTAGTGCTCTGTTAGCGTCGAGTGAGGACTGTGTGTAAACTGTATGTTCCTCTACGTCTGTCTCTTCTCAGTGGGTGATGGGAGGCTCGGGTTCCCAGATGACGGCCCATATGATGCCATCCACGTCGGAGCTGCCGCACCTGCTGTCCCCAGAGCCGTATGAGATGGGCTGGGTGTAAACCTGGGGATTATTACAAGTCCACAGCAAAATATGTCGCATGGCTTTACGATTAGACATCCTTTCAGAAAGAGCAGGGTCAAATCTGACCCCCCAGGAGATATGAGTAGATTGATTAAGTAACAAATTGATGAGAACTAAAATAAACTACCAACCAAAATCTGGCTTCCTTGTCTGTAGTGGATACATTTGTGTGACTTTGACAGATGAAATGAAAATAAACGTCCTTATGTAAGCAGACTGCATGCGGCCATCTTAAAGTTGAGTGTTTCCAGCCCCATTCACCAAGCCGCAGGCTGCTCACGGTCCCCACAGTCAGGATGGAGCGTTTCTTCACCCCTGGCTGTGTCCCTCCCGCAGCTCTTGGACCAGCTGAAGCCTGGCGGCAGGCTGGTGCTGCCTGTCGGCCCGGAGGGAGGGAGTCAGGTTCTAGAGCAGTATGACCGCCAGAGCAATGGTACGTTCTCCAGGAAAGCTCTCATGGGTGTGATCTACGTTCCCCTCACTGACAAGAACCACCAGTGGCCCAGGTAATCCCCCAGAGACACCGGATTTTCACCTTGGAAATTAACTTAATGCACTGAAGAATAATGCTCCCTGTGGTCATTCATTTATGATTGTGCACAAGGATTTTCACATTTAAGGCTTATTTCCATCTCAGATGCTTTAAACGTGGAAAAGATTGCAGAGTTTCCCCAGTCTTCTCCCAGCAAACATAAGACAGGGTCATCCCTGGAAGGGACGTCTCTAGGGACACAGGTCCATAAAACCTTGCGTTGTCTTCAATTTAGTTTCTAATCATTTGAAATCACTTTTAAGCAAATATGTTTGATTTAATGTTTCCAGCTTCTAGTCTGGAAGTTTCATTGCTGATCAATGCTATGTTTGTTTCCTCCACCCCGGCACCCCCCACCCAGAGGTGAGCTCTGACTGCAGTGTCATTGCCCCTGCAGGAGGTGGCGCCCTTGCTGCAGTTCTTGAGTCCCACATAATCCAAGGGGGGGGGGGGGTGTGCTTCACCACTGTCTTGACCTGCTGCCTAGCAACACATGTGAGAGCGCCTGCCTGCCTACAAAGCTTTATCATCCGTATTTTAACAGGCTGCAATTAATCAGCCCTTTGGCATCATTGAGGTTTTGGTATGACACATTTTACATTATACACAGAATGAAAAATGTTTGTATTTTTGCAGAGAGAGAATGAAGGCATAGCTTTTGGACCTCATGTAGAAATGTATTTTGTATATAATCCAGCGAACAGTTCACAGTATCACAGTAAAATCGTAAATTGACAATATCCACTGTCATGGATTTTTTTACCCATTGTATGATGTCCAGTATGGTGTAAATAGTATGAAACTTCCATTTAATGTTGAAATGGAATTATCTACAGAATATTTTGAGAAGCTTGAATGCCCCAGTTTTTCTAAAAAATAAATCTGAATATCACTAGATCTTATCCAGAGAACTTGACATTGAAGTAGGACTATCATTGCAAGTTAAAAATGTTTGATACTCAAAAACAAAATTATCTTAACATGCTGAACATAACAGACCAATGTCTATAATCAAAAAGTACTGGTAACTCACAGAAAAGAACTAAATTTGCCAGAACATTGATGCTGCATACCCTGAAATGATTTGTAAATTAAACTGTGATGTTATTAATAATGTGAATAATAAAATTAAATATTTGCTAATCTTATTTTTTGTGCTTCATTTCTTCAAATGCCCAAAACCTCTATTTTGTTTGGTTAACTAGAACTGGTGCCATAGTCACATTTTATGTAACTGTGACTTAATTTTATTAATTACTGTTACCCATGATACTTTGCAAATACCGGAAACCACTAAGTTCACTAGTCCCTAGTCAAGGCAGAGAAATATACTGAAGACAAACAGGACGGGACAGTGAAACTGAAACACCTAGTTTTAGAATAGGTGTTTATTTTAATTTAATAATAAAAAAGTGGCCAGGTCACTGCATGATGCGATACTAGTGGAGGGAATCGTTTCCTGACTTGCTCCTCCAAAACTCCCCAAAGTGGCTCAGATCTATTCAGATCTGGTGACTGTGCAGGCCATGGGAGATGTTCAACTTTACTTTCATGTTCTTCAAACCAGTTACCAGTCTTGCTGTGTGTATTGGTGCAATACCATCCTTATATATGGCACCACCTTCAGGATACAATGTTTGAACCATTGAGTGAACACAGTCTTCCAGAATGGTTCGGTAGTCCTTGGCAGTGACAGGGTTGCCAACTCTCACGCATCTGCCATGACAGTCACGCTTGTGCAAGACATCTTATAGCAAATCTACATTATTTCATTATAAATCCAAAATTAGCTATATCTCTTGGGGTAGTTTATAAACCCTACAGACTATTTACAAGGTAATAAAACTGTTACATGTAAATGAATGTGCAGACTAGTCTCGCATTGGAAATCTCACGCAAGCCCGTTGACCAAAGTTGACAACCCTGCAGTGACATGCCCATCTAGAACAAGTATTGGGCCTAGAGAATGCCATTATATTGCAGCCCAAACCATCACTGATCTACCTCAGTGCTGCACACTGGGTACACAACAGTCAGGGTGGTTGGCCTCTTTGGAGCTTCTCCCCACCGTAACTCTCCCGGACATGGGAAAGACAGTGAAGGTGGACTCATCAGAGAACAACACATGTTTTACAATGACCACAGCCCAAGATTTGCGCTGCTGGCACGAGTGAAACTGACGTTTGGCATTAGCACAAGTGACAAAAGTTTATGTCCAGCAGCTCGACCATGAATATGGACCTTATTGAGCTCCCAACTAACAGTTTTGGTGTAACCAGGAGAGTTGAGGTGTACATTTAATTCTACACTGAGTTGGGCAGCTGTTAGTTTATGTTACTTGTGTATAATCCAGGTTAATGCCCATACATCCCTTTCAGACAGTTTCCTCTTGCGTCCAAAATTACTCCTGTTGGATGTGGTCCGTCCTTTGTGTTGGTATGCCGACATTACCCTGGATACCATGGCTCTAAATACACTACAAAGACTTGCTGTCCTCTTTTTAACTGTAATCTGTCTCCAATTATGTTGTGTGGTGTGCAATATTTTATGTACAGGTGTGCTATTGCTCTGCTAATTCAACCTTCACACTCTGCTCTTACTGATGGAATGTGCAATCAGTGAAAATTGGCCACCAGGCTGCACACATATAAGTGTGAAACCTCAAACACTATATTGCACAGTGTTTTAGTTTCAATGTCCAACTCCTGTAGGGCCTGCTGGGAATTTTGTGCCCTGTGCTTCCTGGGATTGGCTCTTGATCCCCATCTCATGACCAAGCGGTCAGCAGATAGAAGATGGATATTAGTGCATGGCTAGTATCTGGGCTCGTATTTCCAAGGTTTGGGATTTGAATCCTGTGTGTGGAGTGAAAATTTGTGTGACTAGAAGATTTGGAGACTCCAAACTCCTCATGATCACGTGCTACATAAGTAGTTGGAAGATGGATGTTTTCATTGCTGCAGAGTGAATCTTACCTCATAGATGCTGGTAAGGTTGAGGGCAGCTACTCCAAATATACTTAAACCATAACTGGGGTAAGAAAATGGCATTATGGGTAATTAGCAGTCATGGGTACCACATGGGATGTATAATGTGATGCTTGAGATCTGGTAGTTATGTATACTTCCTGTGTGAATAAGGGTGTCACAAATGACCAAAACATGGCTGTGAGAATCGATTTCGATTCTGCTGGGAAGCATATGAGAATTGTACAAAGGGAAAATAAACTTTTGAAGATCTCCCCTTCATGGTTGGGGGTTCAAGTGGAAAGACACTTAGGACAAGAAGTCCTCCAGATGCTCAAAGTACAGTCTTGAAAGTTTCCTTCTGACTGAAGGATGTTTAGAAGCATGGTTACACAGAACATTGGAGCCGTAGAAATTTTCAGGGTAGGATTTAAAATCGATTGGATTGTGCTAGGGGGCGGGGCAGATTTACGTATATTCGTGCTTATTTACAGCTGTTATAACTGTGTTTCTAACTACATGAAAAAATGTACATACAGTATTTACCAGTTAGAACGATTGTTCATACTAGTATTTACTATTCATTGTCAATGCTGCAGGTGGCAGCAACGAGCCACAAAACACTTTAGTACCTTGATATTTCTACAGAAGAAGAGGCTGATGACGCAACTATGCCGCGACATTAAACGAGAAAGGACCCTGTGTTAACTGGCGTGGAAAAACTTCATGTGGTTTTCACTGGTGGAAGCAGCCAGTGTGTTCTCTGTAAATTATGCTAAGAAAGCTGCCGGCCGTTTATTGTACGATGGAGTGAGGAATAACAGAAGTAAACTGATTACGGAAGCCATCGGTGCTGACAACAGCCAAGTCAGATGCATTAAGGCAATTGAATCACTTGGCCGGTGGAAGATAAATCCCAAACGTGGTTTAACGACTTGCTGTAATATTCTGGGATCCGGTCGGCATATCGGACAGCTATATACAGGCAGACACTCAGGGTTTCGATTAAGGGAGATGGACTCTAATGAAATACCAAAGGCGTTAACTGAAAGTAACGCTGAATCAGAACATACTGGAAGCAGTCTGAGTGTAAAGGAGAGCGGTGAGAAACGTAAAAGCGATGAGACTGATGAGCCGGGGAAAAACTGCCGTGGAAAGAGGAGAAGAGGAGGGGGAGGTAAAAACCTTCGTCCGGGGGAAAGATACGTACCTCCACCTCAGAAATTAAACCCCGGCGTTAGCTTCAGCGAAGAGCATTTTCGGGAGACCACTTACTACTTCGAAGGTGGCCTCCGCAAAGTGCACCCGTATTACTTCGATTTTAAAACTTACTGCAAGGGCCGCTGGATCGGGAAAACCCTCATGGAGGTTTTCAGCAGCGAGTTCCGGGCGGAGTCACTGGATTACTACAAGCAGGCTGCCCTTCAAGGACGCATTCGTCTTAACGAGACACCCGTGGACGACCTTAATATCACTTTAAAGGTATGATATTAGATCCTACACTCCCACTTAGTCTTTCAGGTATTAATGAAATATGAGGCCTGAATATCAAAGTGTATGCTTTCCATGAAGTGTGTTTACAGTTTGTTTGATTACCTAGAGGTGTGTGTTTCCTGTGATCAAATGTGGGGTCTTCTCTCCTCTAGAACAATGACTTCCTGAGGAACACAGTCCACCGGCACGAACCTCCTGTGAGCTGCCAGCCTTTGAAAATCCTGGAGGACAATGGCGAGGTGCTGGTTGTGGACAAGCCGTCCTCACTGCCAGTCCATCCCTGTGGTCGCTTTCGTCACAACACAGTCATCTTCATCCTGGGCAAGGAGTTTGGAGTGTGTGGCCTCCACACAGTCCACAGACTCGACCGCCTCACCTCAGGGGTGCTGCTCTTTGCACGCACTCTGGAGGTGTCAAAGAAGTTAGACCAGCTCGTGCGTGACAGACAGGTAAGGCTGGCCTCACGCTGATCACCAGGATAGCTACTATAGGACAATTCCGCGCAAGTGATAATCAGCAGTCACCACAAAACAGAGCCAGACATACTGTCATATTCACCTGGGCTGTGACTGATAAGAGCAAAAATAAGCTATCAAATATTAAGAACCCAACTTCTGCTTATCCAGTAAAGGGTTGCAATGAGCATGTCCCATGAAACACAAAGCAGGACACACACTCAGTAACATAATCACACACTGTGGGTAATTTAGATACCATAGTTTATCTAATATGTACTATTCCAGAAATCCTTATCTGCTGGTGTGGTACCTTCTGATTGGACGCATGCTAATATAACGCCCATATTCAGAAAAGGGGATAGAAGTAATCCTGCAAACTATAGGCCAATCAGTTTACCTTGCATAACTGGAAAAGTAATGGAAGCTATAATCCAATTGAAAATGGTAGATTACCTGGATTCAAATAACATTCTGAGGGATAGCCAACATGGATTTAGGAGAGGTAGATCCTGTTTAACTAATTTACTTGAGTTCTTTGAGGAAGCTACAAGAGAAATGGATCACAAAAAGGCCTATGATCTACTTAGATTTCCAGAAGGCCTTTGATGTTGTCCCCCAGAAACGGCTCTTGCTTAAGCTCAAAGCTGCAGGGATTCTAGGAACTTTAGCAGCTTGGATTGGAAACTGGTTAACTGACAGGAAGCAGCGAATAGTTATGAGGCACAATGTCACAGTGAGCCTGTGTTCATAGTGGGGTACCGCAGGGTTCAATTTTAGGACCACTATTGTTCCTAATTTACATTGATGATATTGACACCAATACATACAGTAAACTGGTTAAATTTGCAGATGACTCCAAGGTGGGTGGTGTAGCAGATACTGATCTAACAACACAGAGGCTACAACGGGATCTTGATTCCTGGTCTTAGAGGAATATCTTATGAGGAGAGGTTAGCTGAGCTGAATCTGTTTAGCCTCAAGCAAAGGAGACTAAGGGGGGACATGATCCAAGTATATAAAGATTCTAACAGGTCTGGATGCTGTTCAGCCAAATGGCTACATCAGTATTAGTTTAAGTACTAAAACTCGTGGCCGTAAGTGGAAATTAGCGGGAGAACACTATAAAATGAATTTGAGAAAGCACTTCTTCACATGGCGCGTAGAGTATGGAATAGTATTCCTTTTAGTCTAGCACAAACTAAAACCCTGGGTTCCTATAAATCAGAGCTAGATCTCATGTTAACAGCTCTGAGCTATTAGTTGAGTTATCCCCAAACGAGCTTCATGGGCTGAATGGCCTCCTGTCATTTGTAAATTTCTTATGTTCTTAACTGTATATTTTTGCTCTTGGCCGGGAACTGTAACTCCCTGAAACAGGCTGCTTGACCATGGCGAGACCCTTCTAAACTCTACACACCTTCACTATGGATCTCAGGTAGTAGGTGGTGTACTGTTATGTAGACCTGAACGTTATTGGTTCTGCAGGTCCTGTGACCTTCCTAGGACTCTCTGGCAGTGGCATTTGACCTGATTTGCAAATCGAATAATTTTTCTTTGCTGGTGCATTATATTTAGGTGTTGTCTGAGCTACTTGACCAGATTGCAAAGCAGTTTGTGAGGATGCTTTCAGTTGCACAGCAGTCAATAGTTCAGCAGTGTTGGTTTAACTGTGGCAGTAACCTTGGGCCTTTAAGAAAATCAGATTTATTTAAGAGACGCCATTTGCCGGAGCTCGCAGTCCTGTGAAGATCTTCACTCGTAGCATTGTTCACCTGTAACTGAGGTGTTTAAAATCTGCACCTTTATACATCCTACAGATGGAGAAGGAGTATGTGTGCCGTGTGACTGGCGAGTTCCCAGAGGGCGAGCTGGTGTGTGAGGAGCCCATCCTGGTGGTCTCCTTCAAGGTGGGCGTGTGCCGGGTTGACCCCAAGGGGAAGCCGTGTCGGACAGTGTTCCAGAGACTCAGCTGGAACGGCCGGTCCAGCGTGGTGCGCTGCCAGCCTCTCACGGGCCGCACACACCAGATCCGCGTCCACCTGCAGTTCTTGGGTTACCCCATCGTGAATGACCCCATCTACGGCTCTGATGCCTGGGGACCCCACCGGGCTAAGGGGGGGCTGGTGGGCAAGACTGATGAGGAGCTGCTCCGAGCCCTGGTGGACGAGCATCGCTCCAAGGAGAGCCTGCATCTCCTGGACCTTCCGGACGAAGTGCTGCCCACTGGTAAGAGTGTTGAGCAATTGCTTGACCCTGACTGCGGTATAAGGGACGGATCTTCTGCTACTTTGCCACCTGACAATGACCCTTGTGGGAAAAGTGATGCTTTAAATAACTGCAATGTGAAAGAGACAAGCAAGGGATGTTCTGACTCAAACTCCCCTGATTTTGATTCCCATGATCAGAAGAAAGCTGAAGATGGGTCAGTAAACATAGGCCTGCCTGCATGCGAGTCGAACGGTGACAGCAGTACAACGGCAGTGCCCACGGGCACACTCCTCACAGCATGCATTGCTGGAAATGAAACAGCAGCTCCAGCCAAAGAGCCTGCCACCCTTGGACCTGCAGAACCCGACCGGGACTCTAGCCCTGTTGGGTCTGTGTCGACTGTGAAAGATCCTTTGTGTAGTGAGTGTAAGATTGTGCGGGCAGATCCCACTGAGGAGGATCTGATAATGTATCTCCACGCGCTACGATATAAAGGTCCCGATTTCGAATTCTCCACACGCCTGCCAGACTGGGCCAGAGAAGACTGGGAGCAGGACTGAGCAGGACCCACACTGCCCCTGGCATGTGCCGTGGTGTGAGAATGGCTCTGTAGAGGTTTTATGTTTAAGAACCAAATCTCTGGAATTACCCAGAAATATATTAATAGCAATATGGGCTTGAATATGGAAGACACTGCAGTCTAATCCCTTTTCTTTCTTTTTAGACTGTATATTTTCCCTGCCTTTCTGTTTTGAATAAATAAGTTGGATTCTGATTAGTATTTTATTTTAGGCAACAAGTTGTTAAATTGCTATTGGTGACTAATAAGCAAAATTCCAATATTTAACAAAAAAATTACCCTTAAATCAAGCTGCAGGAAAACAAATGCAATTTATTTTGACAGTTCAGTCAAAGCATTACCATATCAAAAACAAACTCAGTTGAAAAACTCCCTCTTAAAAAACATCATACATAAAATGCTTAGGCACCTAGTATGTGTCTTTTTCTCTTTTTATATAGGTGCTAAAAATAAGTGTTAACTCATAACAGTGGAAACACTCCAAAGGTATCAGTGAATTCAAGTTCTAATTACAATTAAAGGCCTCTGTTTAATACACCCAGTGGCTAGTTGATTAGGTACACCTGCTTGCTGATGCTAACAGACTGCTCCTCCAAACAGCCAATCATGTTGCTTCAGCTGAATACGTGCAGCATGCTGACTGGGTCAGGAGGTTACAGTGGCTGAAATGAGTGCCCTAAGTGTTTCTGAATGTAGTGTAATTATTGGTGTCGGGTGTGGTGATTCCAGCATCCTCCTGGGATTTTCACACACTACAGTGTCTACAAGCAATGCAGGCTTAAACACCATGTGAATGAGGGAGCTCATTAAAGGTAACATGCAAAACAAAGAGAGTACAGTGGTGTTCAGTGTGGCTTCACTGAGTACAGCCACCACTGAAGTGGTTTAGGAAGAAAAAGTGGCCCCTATTCGGTACTAAATAGGTGTACCTAATAAAGTGGCTCCTATTCGGTACTAAATAGGTGTACCTAATAAAGTGGCTCCTATTCGGTACTAAATAGGTGTACCTAATAAAGTGGCTCCTATTCGTACTAAATAGGTGTACCTAATAAAGTGGCTCCTATTTATTACTAAATAGGTGTACCTAATAAAGTGACTCCTACTTGGTACTAAATAGGTGTACCTAATAAAGTGGCTACTGAGTGTAATTGTTCTGGATTTCTGGGGCAATGATTCTCTCTCTGACCCTGAAGCCGAGCGTGGTCTGTTGTAGCTTCAACTGAACAGAAACAACCAGTCATTAGTGTCAGGAAGCCTGCAGTGCTGCTAAAAGGGCGTTAACACAGCGGTAAGTGTGCCATGAGCCTGAACCAAATGGGCGTCCGTTTTCATGGAAATTCGGAGCAGCTCACTGCAGCTGGATGAGCAGCCTGCATCGTGCTCCGAAATGTAGAGCGATGGGATAATAATATGTTTGGTGATTCTCTCGGTGGAGTAAAAATAGTATTGTCATCGGGGTCCATGGATTGCTGCACCATTATGCAAGTGCAAAAACGAAGCGGTTGGATGTTAAGTGAATCCATGCAGATCCATTGGTCTCCTCGTTTTCATGTGCTTCTCTGATATAAGCAGAACTCGGAAGTGTTATTTAGCATGTCAGAGACTAAATATACAGTGCATGGAAACCCCATTGAAAATAGGGTTAAGACAAGGCTTTTGTGGCATCTGTTCGTGCACGGCGGCGAGGGACTGATGCTGGAACTTGCTGGATATTCATTAGGTTTTGAAACATCCATATGCAGGCAGTAGTTAATCATTAGTTACACTGACCTTTCAGAGGATGTTTTGTGTTATAAAACTGCATCTATCTCCTCGAGTAAATGAATCTGTATATCATACAGAATAGACTAGTACATGGTACTGTACAACGACGCAGGACAGAATAATCAGACTTTTTCTACCCAGTTGTTATCCAAATGAAGTTGGACCTTCTAGAAGGCTTACAAGCTACAGAACATGTCCAAACCGTGCCAGCTGCAGTACTTAAATGCTTGAGAAAATTCAATTTGTTTTCATTCTTGAAGTATTTAAAATGTTGTGACCTAAAATGGTTTGGCACATGCATACAAATTGACATTTGCACACACATACACATACACACATATTTACATATAATTATAGTACATTAACAAAATGAACGTAGCTATACAACAAATTCACTACGGTATAAATGCCTGTCAAATTTTCTATGGCCGTAGTTGTGCGACATTACTGCTGTGTTTCCTGCACGTGATAAACAGCTGCTTACACAGGTGCATTTTTATTGAACCCTTCCAATGTAGCCATGATTTTATATTGCACTAGTTTCAGCAGGTGGCAAGTCTTCTGTCTGATTCTGATCTGATCCTCATACAAATTTTGTCACTGGTGGATTTACCATTTTGATTTACAGACTTGAAAACACTGCAGTCAAACTAGTTCAGACATGGGGGCTTGGTACCTTGGATCTCTAAAAGGCTTCAAGCACTTGATAGCAGTTTTGTTATGTACAAAGAACTTAAGTGAAGACATTATATAAACTTGCCATTTAGGATCAAGATTTGCCCCCTGGTAATAAATAATGCACTTAAGTTTCTTGATCTTCCTCTAATTCTTGGTATGTTTATTGTGGATACTGAACCACGTCTTCCATCAAAAATGCAGGCTACTGCCTTCCAGTACTTTGATAATTAACGGCTGTCATGTTCAACCTTTATAAAAAAAAAAGGAAAAGCAAGTCCTCTTCACATCCAATGTTTGGCTTTCCTGTTCTTCCCTGGTCTTGAGATGTTTTAGGCAATAATACACTGGAGACAACAATGTATTTGACATCAAGAAGTCATTCATACAATAGTCTGGCAGATTGTCACCAAGCTTGAACCGATACACTTTCACACGAAATAGATCACTTGACGCTGAACAAGTGTCGTGCTGGAAAATTTCAATTGAATGACCAACAAAAGTTAATCCTTCCCATAAAAGTAGTAGGCTAAAATTTTAGATTGACTAATGGGTCCTCATTTTGGATCAGGATCTATTACAATGAATTATTTTGAGTGATTTGACTGGCAATTAGTGTGCATTAACACATCGTGGCAAGACTTCAGCAACTACCTTCCCCACTTCTCCCTTCCCTTTTTATCCATACATCTGGTAAATCTGGTTTGCTATTGGGTAAGATGACTGGTAAGTCTCCCTGGCTTGTTCTACCTCTCCCCAAGGAAGAAGTCTCGTAAACAGTCTCCTTCAGCGACAGACGCAAAGTGTCCCTCTTGCCATTTAAGTGACCTGGTTTCAGCTCTCTTACAGTTTCTTCTAAAGTCTGTGGGACTGAGGGCCCTGGTTCAATATCACTCAGGCAAGTCTCGTTGGAGTCCTCCAGTCCATCAAAAGAACTCTGGGATGAGAGGAGCCGTCGATGGGGGTGGTCCTTGAAAGGACTTCGGGTGGTCCTCTCTGTGGGTATTGATTGTTGGTGGTCTGGAGGCTGACTGCTGACGATATCCTCCATGCTTGAGGAGGAGGATGTTGAGACATTCCAGTGTTTACGGCTGCCAGACTGACTCCGGCACTGCCTGCATAAGAGTCGTTCCTGGGTCAAATTAGTTGGTGATGCTACCACTGGTCGGAGGGTGTTCTCCTTGTATGGAGAGGAGGTCTGTAGGGCAGGAGGTGGGTTACAGACTTCAAAGTGCTGACAAGATAAGTCCTCGCTGTCTCCCTCAATGCTCAGCGCTTCTATATCTCCCCTTGGGCTCAGGCTACGGAACTGAATGTCATCCGAGAGGACAGAGGGTCTGTTGGACAGTTTGCTGGTGCATGTGCTGTTCTCAAAGCTGTCGCTCATCTGACAGGCCAGAGGCTGAAGCTCATACTGTTCTGGCTTCCTCCCTTCGCTTCTGTGTCTCTGTCGCTGTCGATGCTGCCCCGGACAGAGATGTCCACCGTCACTTCCTTTTTCGAATTCCCTTTGCATTCTGGAATGCCCCCCACAGCCAAAAGACCCATTAGCTGCTGCATTTGAGGAGGCCGGCTCTAAGGCAGAGCCAGGAGACAGCATGTTTTCAGTACCCTTTTCCTTGTACTGCATATTCGTTCCTGTACATGGCAAAAATATTTGCCCACAGTTCTTTTGTGGTCCGAAAAAGCAACAGAGTGACTGGAAGAAGAAAGTGGCAAATCCACAAGCCACACACTTCACTAAGAGTAGGAAGATGCCCAGCTTGCGAAACAGCAGTGCCGTTGCAGGCAGCATTATGACACCCATGCAGAAGTAGGCACCGGCTCCTGTGGCAACCGGACAGCCCATTCTCTTTAAGGAGTGCGCTACCCTTCCAAGCCGATCCGAGTGTGGTGCCAAGCTATAGGAAATGCAATAGTTAGCAGCAAAATCAACAGAAAGCCCAGCAGCAGCTGATATAAGAAGGGCCTCCAAGCCACTTAGTTGCCACTCTAGTAGGACCAGGAGGCCAGCCGTGACAAAAACACTTCCTCCAACGGTGGCGGTTCCATAAATACTCAGCGGAATATTCCAGGTGGTCAAGAGAAGCATGGCGAAGGTAAGGGCTACTGAGAAGCTTGTCACTACCAGTGTTTCCGAGCTTAAACATTGCTGGAGATCGTAGAGAGACAGTTGGCTTACAAACCAACCATTCCGAAGTCCAGTTGGCGCACTAGATATTTCTTTAGTGAACCATGTCTCAATCTCCTTGTAAAAATGTGCAGTTTGACTGAAATTGAAACTGTAGAGTTGGGTCGTCTTAAACTCTATAACTAAAGCTACTGGACGGCCATCTGGGTCAAAACGAGGTCCCGCTGTGTCAGGCAAGTACCCTTCTGCGTGTCTCTCAGCAGCCATCATGGCCAGACACTGCTCAAAAACAGTGGGGAGGTAAGGGAATGGGATATTGTTGCAGCAGAAGTTAAAAGCATCCTCATTCTCAGAACAGCGTCTAATAGACACCCAGTGTAGTAGCTGTTCAACAAAACAGATATTGTCCCATTTGAATTCCCCCTCAGGGGATGAGGAAGGCAAATAGAAACTCTGGTTTCCGATTCTTCCACACAGGCCTCGCAGCCACACTTGAGCTTCTGGGCTGCTCATGTTAAAGCCTGGGTCCGTTGTTAAGGTACCATTGCTTCTGGGGTTCAGGTGATCTCCATTGTCTACTGGATGGATGCCCCAAACGAGAGTGATTGTCATAGGTTTGTCCTCCCCACTCTTTAGCCGCTCAAACATGAATTGGTGACGGTATTCCAAATCGTACCTTTCAAAAGGATGGCTGGAACGAAAGAGCTGAGCCACCTTACTGTCTGAAAAAGGGAGTTTCATTCCTGGGTCCACAAATGTTATGTAAGTTCCACCCGCTGCTAATACAGCAAACCAACAAACCCAGATATATCGAAATTTAACCACGCCACACGGCAGGATTTTTAAGAAGAGCAAATCCGAGGTGTCAGACAGTCCCCGTTTCAGTCCCCTTAGTTTCCGAACCATTGTGAATAAGCATCGCTTCCTCGAGCTTGTGTCCCAGAATCCTCTGGGGCCCAAAGAACAGCAGGGCTTCCCGGGCAGCGCAACTGTTGCAGAGTAACGCTCACGCAGGATAAGGGAACAGGGCAACCATACCAGAGAGAAAAGAGTGCTGATTAGAGAGGCAGTGCCAAGATAGACTGCAAAACACCTGATGGTAGTGATGCTGCTCATGTATCCTGAGTAGAATGTGGCACTGGCCGTCAGCCCCGATGCCAATATCAAGTATCCCCCCTCTTGAAGAACCCGTGTGACCCTTTTTTCTAGCGACGCAGGAGGCTTCTGGGATAGCTGGAGACGCCAGAGGTCTATGAACGTAAATGCCTGATTGGAATAACTCCCCAGCAAGACCAGAACCGCAGCAATGTTAAGAAAAGGGAAGAACGTGAGCCGGAAAGCGACTTTATAGAAAAAATAGGAAGTAAAGAGCGACACCATGATCGCCGCCAAGGACATCGCCGAGAGGAAGAATGACCGCAGATAGAGAGCCATCGTCAATAAAAGCATCACTACAGCCAGCACGGGATAGACTGAGTCGCGAGCCAAATAGTATTTGAAAAGCTGTTCTTTGATGCCCAGATCCATGCCTGTGATTGTGGTGTTGCTGTATGTAAGATCACGGCCCTCCAAATTGTCCAAGTATATCTTCAGCATTGGATCTCCTTTCTCTACAGGCAGAAACAGAAGGCTGTATTTCAGTGAGGGGACTTGATAACCTGTGGTCTGAGGTCCAAGGAAGTCCTTGTCAACCAGGTAATGCAAGATCTGGTAGACTGCGCTGGAGTGCTTGCACTGAGATGGCACTGATGCACAGTGACCCATCTTGCTCCTCTCGGTGCAGGATGGTGCCAGGCTCCTGTCGTGGTAGTAGGGGGCACACTGTCGAAGTAGAGTCAGGCTTTTGGATACCTGGAGAGCAGTCAGGCTGAGGCAGGAGGTAGCGTTGTTCAGCACGGCCAGGTAATTGCCCAAAGACCAGCTTGGGCAACACATACGATTAGTTGAGGCTCCGCCTGTGTCCGGTCTGTCTTGTTCACAGAGATCTTGGAAATGAGCATGGGACCGGATCTGAAATGCAGAGCAAGAATGAATCATCGTTTGGCAAGCAGAGCATCCATCCATCTATCTTTGATAACCACTCATTCGGTACAGATTAGCAGTGAGCTTGTAGTTAATCTTAGGAAGCACAGGGTAGAAGCTTGTGGACACAGTATATGGGATGTCAGGCAGTTTGTGGGACACACAACCATACACTATTACAGATACAGAGACCTGCACAAACATGAAAGCCTACTGTCGCCACAGAGAACAGGACTGGCATTCAGTCCCCCAACCTTTGAGTTATGAAACAACAGTATACCCACTGTTAGAACTACTGTCCTAAAAATAATCTGTTATGAACCAAAATCACAACATATACTTTATAAAAGACAATATACTGTAGCAATACATTCCAACTTCCAACCAGTTACCCTGGTCAGATTGATGGAACAGGCATTTATTAGTAATAAAATTTGCCTGTGTACTCTTGATTAAATTTTGTTATGGGTGGTGATGTACAAATTTAAAAATGCAATTGAATTCATACATGTGATTAATTAGCTGTAAGTGTACGTAGGAGATCAATGTAGAAAAAAGGCAGGCTTTAGATCAATTCTACAAAAGAGGTTCTTTAGCAATCCAGACATCTACTTTCTCCTGCCTTTCCTCTTTGCATTGCCTTGTTGTTTATGGAGCCTCAAAAGCTGTTTTGTGTATGTTGAGTATGTTTTATCTTGAGTGTGTTAGTCTAAGTGAATATTTTTTTGTGTCTTTTGTATCTAGCTTGGCTGTGGTTCCACTGGAATACCTGATTGGTTGTTGGTCCTGTTGAGGTTCTTCAGTGTTTTAGGGATTACCAAATGGATTTGAGTAAGTGGAAAGGAAGATGCTTCCTTGGAAGACCACCTACATTTCCAACCTAGTGTAATCCCTAAAGCCAGGTAAGTTGATAACACCATCTCCGCAGCAACTAATTCCATGTAACAATGCTGTTTTTACTTAAAGATCACAGCGTCTTCCCTTCCACTTACTCAAACCCATTTGTTAATCCTAGAGTTGGATGTCTTGAGACCGGTCTTGAGACCACTTGTACGTGGTCTTGGTCTTGTCACAGTCTCGACGGTCTTTGGTCTTAGTCTCGAATCTCTTGGCCTTGCTGTCTCCGATCGACATAGTGGTCGGGAGATTTGGAGCGAAAAGTATCCATGACACACAATGTAACGTTCGATAATGCAACATTATTATTATTTCGTCTTTCGTGCCCTTCAAATGCAACCAATCAATGATATACATGCATTTTGTTGCGATTCAGACATTGGCACTCATCCAATCAAAATACGTGTTATATGCGCAAAATAAGTGTAGCGCTAGTTAAACGTTAGATCCAGCATCGCAGGCTATAAGTTGTTGCAATCTTTAGTTTTCCTGAAGTGCAATCAACCACTATTTTAAAATGTGAACTATTTTCTCTCTCTCCCTCCTCTCTGAAAATACGCCTATTAACAGTGATGCTCTGTTTTTAAGTATTTCATCTAAATGTATTAGTTTATCAATCTGTTATTTGTCCATAATGTCTGTGTTCTATTGTTCGTGCCCGACTGAACAACAGGCTTGATATCACTGGCAGTGTGTTGTAATCACATGCCACTGCAGACATCAAGATGTCAGAATCTTTTAAGCACTTGTCCTTATTCTTATGAATGCACAATTTGATGTGCAGTTTGTATTGGTATATAGTATTTGTAGTTTGCATTTGATTCATGTGACGTGTGCACTTGTCTTTATATTGTTTGATTACAGTATTTTACTTAAAATGGTG